AAAAAAAAAAAAGAAAGTAACAATTTCTAGTTAAACACAAATTTTCTGGAAGTTAAACTACATTGTGGCAATGCCTCGTTTGTCCCAAAGCATGTTAATTAAGGTATCAAAAGCTAATGAAGGCCCTTCATGGCAGCTCACGCCTGTAATACCAGCACTTTGGGAGGCCGAGGCAGGCAGATCACCTGAGGCCAAGAGTTAGAGGCCAGCCTGGACAACATGGTGAAACCCCATCTCTTTTGTAATTTTGTAAAAATACAAAAATTAACTGAGCATGGTGGCACACACCTGTGATCTCAGCTACTCGGGAAACTGAGCCAGGAAAATCACATGAACCCAGGATGTAGAGGTTGCAGGGAGCTGAGATCATACCACTGCACTCCAGCCTGGGCAACAGAGCAAGACTCTGTCTCAAAAACGAACAAACAAACAAAAAGCTAATCAGTAGATAAATTAGGGGAAACATTTTATACACTTAATAAAACATTCCATTTTTAATTGCATTTGCATGGGCATTTTTAAAGGTCTTTAACATTTGTACATACTGATTGTTACATCTAAACAAAAAAGTATAAACTGAAAACTCAATTTTTTAAACATTTGGTAATACTTTTTTATAATTTCAATAATTATGGATAATGAATATAAATAATTACACTTAGCAGTTGCTACTGAATTTTTAAATCAGGTAATCTTTCATTTTGCTTACTCTACATTCTTAAAAATAACACAAATTATGCTTCTAAAAGTCTAATGTTTAAAACAAGATCTAATGCTTTCTAAGAATTAATAATGACTTTTATATTTCTTTTTTTTTTTTTTTTTTTTGAGACAGAGTCTTGTTCTCTCGCCAGGCTAGGGTGGTACGATCTCGGCTCACTGCAACCTCCGCCTCCTGGGTTCAAGCAATTCTCCTGCCTCAGCCTCCCAAGTATCTGGGACTACAGGCATGCGCCACCATGCCCAGCTAATTTTTGTATTTTTAGTAGAGACAGGTTTTTACCATGTTGGCTAGGATGGTCTCAATCTCTTGACCTCGTGATCCACCCGCCTCGGCCTCCCAAAGTGCTGGGATTACAGGTGTGAGCCACCGTGCCCAGGCTGGTTTATACATTTCTATAAAAAAACTATCAAATCGAGCCTTAGGAAAGTCTACCTTGAGCATTATTCTACAAAATAAAATTTATATATAAGTATTCTCTTAAAAAAAAAAAAAAAAAAAACAGAGTGGGTCTTGCTATGTTGCCCAAGCAGGTCACAAATTCCTGGGCTCAAGCTATTCTCCACCTCTGCCTCCCTAAGTGCTGGGATTACAGCTTCTCCTTTTTTTATATATAGAGAGAGGCAGGGTCTCACTCTGTCACCTAAGCTGGAGTGCAGTGCTGTGATCTCACTGCAACCCCGGCCTCCTGAGTTCAAGTAATCCTCCCACATTAGCCTCCCAAACAGCTAGGACTATAGACACCATGCCACCATGCCACCATGCCCGGCTAATTTATTTATGTATTTATTTTTGTAGAGACAGGGTCTCCCTATGTTGCCCAGGCTGGTCTCAAACTCCCAGCTGCAACCAATCCTCCCACGTGGGCGCCTACAGTGCTAGGATTATAGGTGTGAGCCACTGTGCTCAGCCATGTAAGTATTCTTTTAAATTTTTATATCCCAATTTACCCTGTGGACCAAAGAAATAACCATTGATCTGAAAACAATAAAAGGCAAGGTATCACAGCTGAATATAATCAGGTACTAAATAGAAGCTTAAGTTTATAATTAGAACACTGAAAATATTTCAAAATGGATTTAGGTTTTTCGAAATGATGACAATTCCATTAAGATAATGACAACATTACAATTAGTAACAATTTTAGTAATTCTGGGATTCTTGGCCTCTGAACAAAGACAATGTTTTAGTTCATATTTAATATACAAATTAGTTATGTCTAATCAGTACTATATTGTTAAAAAATACTTTTGATCGCCGGGCACGGTGGCTCAAGCCTGTAATCCCAGCACTTTGGGAGGCCGAGGCGGGTGGATCACAAGGTCAAGAGATCGAGACCATCCTGGTCAACA